GCACTCCTCACACGTTTCGTGGCTCCATAGGGTGCTCTGCCGAAGGCCCCAGTGGCAGGGTCCGCACACACGTTTAGTGGCTCCATAGGGTGCTCCGCCGAAGGCCCCAGTGGCAGGGTCCGCATACAGTTCCACCCCTATTTCGGCGCACCCCGAACACGTTCCACGGCCCCATAGGGTGCTCCACCAGAGGCCCCAGTGGCAGGGTCCGCATGCAGTTCCACCTCCATTTCGGCGCACCCCTCACACGTTTCGTGGCCCCATAGGGTGCTCTACCCAATGCCCCAGTGGCAGGGTCCGCATGTAGTTCCACCTCATGTCGGCGCACCCCTCACACGTTTCGTGGCCCCATGGGTCACCCATGGGGTGCTCCGCCGGAGGCCCCGGTGGCAGGGTCCGCATGCAGTTCCATTTCCATTTCGGTGCAGCTCTCACACGTTTCGTGGCCCCATAGGGTGCTCCGCCAGAGGCCTCGGTGGCAGGGTCCGCATGCAGTTCCACCTCCATTTCGGCGCACCCCTCACACGTTCCACGGCCCAATAGGCTGCTCCACCCAAGGCCCCAGTGACAGGGTCCGCATGCAATTCCACCTCCATTTCGGCGCACCCCGAACACGTTTCGTGGTTTCATAAGGTGCTCCGCCGGAGGCCCCGGTGGCAGGGTCCGCATGCAGTTCCACCTCCAGTTCGGCGCGCTCCGAACACGTTCCACGGCCCAGTAGGCTGCTGCACCCAAGGCCCCAGTGACAGGGTCCGCATGCAGTTCCACCTCCATTTCGGCGCACCCCTCAAACGTTCCACGGCCCAATAGGCTGCTCCACCCAAGGCCCCAGTGACAGGGTCCGCATGCAGTTCCACCCCCATTTCGGCGCACCCCTCAAACGTTCCACGGCCCCATAGGCTGCTCCACACAAGGCCCCAGTGACAGGGTCCGCATGCAGTTCCACTTCCATTTCTGTGCAGCTCTCACACGTTTCGTGGCCCCATAGGGTGCATCGCCGGAGGCCTCGGTGGCAGGGTCCGCATGCAGTTCCACCTCCATTTCGGCGCACCCCTCACACGTTCCACGGCCCAATAGGCTGCTCCACCCAAGGCCCCAGTGACAGGGTCCGCATTTAGTTCCACTTCCATTTCTGTGCTGCTCTCACACGTTTCGTGGCCCCATAGGGTGCTCCGCCGGAGGCCCCGGTGGCAGGGTCCGCATGCAGTTCCACCTCCATTTCGGCGCACCCCTCACACGTTCCACGGACCAATAGGCTGCTCCACCCAAGGCCCCAGTGACAGGGTCCGCATGCAGTTCCACCTCCATTTCGGCGCCCCCCTTACACGTTTCGTGGCCCCATAGGCTGCTCCACACAAGGCCCCGGTGGCAGGGTCCGCATGCAGTTCCTCCTCCATTTCGGCGCACCCCTCACACGTTTCGTGGGTGGCCCCATAGGGTGCTCCACCCCAGGCCCCAGTGGCAGTTCCACCCTCACACCCGTCGCGCGCGTCGTGGCCCCAGAGAGAGGTTCACCGAGGACAATACCCACAGATGCGTTACACACAGCTGCACATGTTTCTGGCCCTGTTCCCGACAATCCCTGGTCCTGGTGCTGCTTTCCACTGTTACCGGTTTGTGTCAGTTCGGTCTCGTCTCGAGCTGTTTTGGGCTGTGGCCCTTGAGTTGCCTGCTGTTGTTGCCCGCCCGTTTCGCTGGCTTGGCCTTGTCCTTGGGCTGGCGCCGCTTCGAGGCCTGCAGAATTCGCCAGCGCCCGGCACGCCGCAGGCCGGGGGGCTCAATTTCGTTGTTGCCGCGAGCCCTCAGCATTGCCAGTCTCCTTGGCTCGACATTGTTTGCGAGCGTCCCTGGCCCTGGTGATGGTTTTCGCTTCCCCCGATCTCTTTGGTTCGGTTCTGTTCCCGCTGGTCCCTGGCCGTCGTGCCGTGGCCAATGCCGTTGGTTTAGTTTTGTTCCCGACATTTCTCTGATATTGATGTCCGTGGTTCGGTGGCGCTTCCACTGCGGAATGGGCTCAGGAACGCGCCAACCTTGAGTTGTATGTCTGGCAATGTCTGCGTGTCAGAAAGCGTTTCCTGGTGGGAATGGCCCAGAAACATCGTAGGAAAGTGTGAAGTGCGTCTCTGGCTCCTAATTGTGCGTATACGCACGAGCGGGTCAATTTCGTGTCCAGTCCGTGTTCGACTGCAAAATGCCAGCTTCTGGGCAGCATACCCCTTGAGCGCCACACCAGAGTGTGAGTTTCTCGTCTGCTCTTTATTTGTGCGGCGGGTGGCGCTGTTTGGGCTGAGTGGCCCCAGGAGCGCCAAGTCAGATCGTGAAGTGTGTGCGTGGTGTGCGTGTGTGCGCCGATGGCGATTCTCTGGGCATCAAATGAGACAGTGAACTGCGTTTCTGATCCTCGTTTGCTCGCCAGAGCCGGCGCGGCCTACTGCGGGCGCGTATTGCGAGAGCGAAGCCAGATTGTAAATTTCACGTTTGCTTTTTTCTCCTTCGTCGG